GCGAAACTGCTTAGCCCAATCTATCACCGTAGAATATGAAGGGGAAGATTCTCCATACACAGCATCCAAACGTTGTTTAATTTCTGCCGGGCTTTTACCTTCTTTTGTAAGAAATTTAATGATCGCACGATACTCAATTTTGAACATTTTCGAATGCAGTGGAACAGCACGTCTTCTCTCGACGCTAGCATCCATACTACTGAGGGTAGAGCTACCAAATTTTAACTGCAGCTTAACAGAACATAGGGTGGAGGGTTGCTGGCGTGGTACCTGTGAATTCATGTTCTAACTTGTTCGGGCCGGAAACTTCTGGACCTTACTACGTATGATCCTTGGTTTCCCTGTGAAACCAGAAGATATATAACAACCCTAGCCATATGTTAGCCATGCCTACACACGTATCCTTGATTTGGGAGCCTGGGATGCACATTTTGCAATGTTGTGCTCCTCCTAGAAAACATGTGTCTGGGACATGTTATGGCAAGTTAGCATGAACCCTGTATACTATACATCTGTCAATTCAAGAAACCTCAAAGTGGTTTTTCCCCTCATTCTTACAGGACATCAACAAGTGGTTGGAAGACACACCTCGTTTGTCTTCAGGCTTCTCCTCAGGTGAAGAAGACTCTCCCATCCACAAAGTGTCAGCTGAGGAATTTGATGAGATTGCAGAGCAGATTGAGAAGGAATATCGAAGAAAGCTGAAGGGTAGATCTGGTTCTGGTAAACAACGGCACTTGAGCCACAGCTCTGACTCAGATGCTGACTATCGATCAAGCTCAACCAAGCGTACATCCAGGTCATCCAAAAGTGAAGATTCCTCTGAAAAGCAATCCAAGGATATCTTGTTGAAAAAGCTAAAGACAAGGCTGAAGTTCAATGACCCAAAATTGGACAGTCTGATATCAAAGGTGAAGGAACTGCGTCAGCTGCGAGCAATGGATCCCGCTGAACGCAATGCAAAATTGAGCATGGGTTCTGTCCTCCACACGGACTTTGCCCGCAAGCATGTCCTTGGTCAGATCACTTCACCTCAAGGGGAAAAACCCAAAGAAACCAAAGTTGAGGTTAAGGAGGTGTTGGTCAAGGAGGAAGTGAAGGCTAAAGTAGAATCTCAGGAGGAGAAGAAAGAGACACCTCCACCAGATGAAAAGAAATCTGGATGGGTAAACAAGGCAACACCAAATTTAAGTGCATGGTTCAAGGCATTTGGAGCCCCAAAGACAAAGCCTCCACCAGTTGCCAGAGTGAAACCAACCACGCCAGTCAAAAGTGCAGCTCCATGGTCATACAGCAGACTTGAGCGGGAGAATGAACGACGTCGACAGGCTGCAGAGAATGCCCAGCCCACCCCTCATCCACCCCCCCCTTCATCAAACCCTGCAGGAAGTCGGCAGAGGAACCTGAGTACTGCCAGCAGCAATGCTTCTGATGCTGCACCTCGATCACCCATAAGTGAGCGCTCACCAGCCTATGCAAGCTCAGAAAGTGAAAAGTCTCCACAGACACCTCAATTTGGAGTGTGGAACACAGAGCAGTCTCCAAGTAATACCACAGAGCGGTCACCTGTGCCAGCTCAGGAACGAGCATATGGCAATGAGCGCAGTCCCAAAGTCCCTCTTCCAAAAGTGGGCTTCTATCAAGATGCTACTCAGTCACAGAAGACCAGCCCTGCAGAATCTGGGTCAATCCATTCACCCAAGACCCCACAGGAGACATTGGCTGCCATCAGTTCCCGTGGTTATGATCATTACTCTCCCCAGAATCACCCTGTTTCTCCTTCTGCTCCAAATATACCTGGACCTGCCTACACTACCTACCAATCATCAGCTACAAAGCCACTTCCAAATTACCATCAGAGCATTAGTTCTTCATCTCATGTTGTCATCAAACCCACACCACAACAGAATCCAGAAGCAGCGCTTCCAGGGAATCTAGCTAGTCTATCTGACATTGTGTCTCGTCTTCCTGTAGAATCTCAATTGGATGAATCTCAGCAAATCAAGAGTATTCCAATATCCCAGCCAACCCCTTCCTACCCACAGTATGTGGAGCTGGGGAAAACCAAGACCAAAGCTCACCAGCAGGTGCAACAACCAAATCAGGCAACAGTAGCTCCATTCTTCCAGAGCATGAATCCAGCTGCAGCACCATCAGCTCGAACTCCAACAGCCCAGTCTTCTTTAGAACAGATGATGCGTCTCTCTGGTAGTCCCTTTTCTCTTCAGCAGCTCTCTGGTTTGACCACTCCAGCAGACAAGAACCAACAAGAGTCTCTTCTCTTCAACACATTTTTGTCATCTGCTGCCTCATCTGATAACACCACCTCCTCCTCTGGGAATGCCCTTGGAATGCCCTACCACCCCGTTTCAGAAACATTCCGGTCACCAGCAGTAGCTGCTGTCTATCAACAGCCCAATCCTCAGACATCGTTCCCATCTCCATTTGCAGCTCAGATGGGATTCTCATCGACCTCACAACATCCTTTCATGAATCGACAGAGCACGTTCCCATTGGTTGATCCATCCCCAACCATATATCAGCAGTATCTACAGCAGAGGCAGCAGGAAGAACTGCTGGCCCTTAGAGGTGGATCAGCTCATCCTCCACCACCCCATCCATCAATGATGATCCAGCAACCATTCATGCCAACAACATTCCCCCCTGGATTCAACCCAGCTGCAGCTGCCATGCATGGCTTTAGCCAGCACTTTCGTGGAGTCCCTCGCCCAGGATGGCTGTGAGTTCTTGGTTGTCGACAGTACAAAAGTGAGCTCTGTCCCTTATCTCAGACCACTGAGTGGCTGTTCTTTTGATGTTTTTAGTTGATTTTATCCATTTTTTTTCTTTCTGATACTCAGAAATCTTCATGTCATTTGACCATATTAAGCATTTTGTGTGCATTTTTTAATGTTTTACCTTTTTTATGAACATGAATGGAAGTCTAGCTTAATCATTGTGTAGAAAAACACATGGATCTGTGATGTAGGCTTAAGTTTCAGATTAAAATCTTTCTTCATTTTGAAATTTTATCTGATGATCACTGTCTTAAACAAGTATAAAATCTTATTCCAGTGAATACTGAATATCCATGAAGAGAATGAAACTATTACCAAAATCCTCATGGTTTTTTTCTGATGTATGAATAAGAAACCTATTGTTACGTGTCACTTCAACAACTGCATTCCACTGTATCAATGGGACTTCTAGTACTGTTGTGATCTCCCTATGACTTACAAGGATATTCAATTGATTCGGTTTTGGCTCCAACATGTGAAAGGTGATGAATAATGCATTTGAGATTCTCTTGTAGACAATGCAGATTAAGATTTTGAATAATGAAGTTTCCATCATATCCATTGAGGAAAAAAATTAATGTGCTTTGTATTGAACAACTTAGGCGCTGATGCTGATCATGGGTTCATTTCTCATAAAAAAATGTTTGGACAAGTAGTTTTATGTTGAGAACTTAACTAAAAATCAATCTGCTTCGGGGATATGCCAAGTGGTGATATGGAGGGACAATTTCCTGAAGCTTAATGTTGAAAAAAATTTTCAAGACATATCCAGCTTGCAACTGAGGCTTTGTCTTTGTGACTTGGTCTTCCTCTGTAATTTTCCTATGATACATGATACTTCTGTACATTATAGGGTCTGAGACAAATAATGACAATGGGAATCGAGAATGAACATTGAAAGCTACTGATTCCCTGCCATGAAAGGCAATCAACATGGTGCATCAGGACCATTATGTCTGGCTCTGCTAGTCAGGTTGGCATCTTATAAATGGGGGTTCCAGTAGCACTGGATGGATCACACACTCCCATAAACTAGTGAAAAATACCTCGATCAGTCGAGGAAACAGAGGGGATGAAGGCCATAAACGAGTCTCAATTTTGGAGTTCCCAGACTGCGCAGATGCCATTAGCGTCCCTTGCCTAGGAGGAATGTGCATGAATGATAAGGGCAGGGGGACCAAAGCATATGTTTAAGTGGGAGATAATCGGGGTCCCACACAGTATAAGAGAGATGATGGGTGGAGGGATGCAAATGCTTTTCTAATGATAGGGACTGGGGAATCCTGGATTGCTCTGAATCGGCACTGATCACAGCGTTCCCTCCTTCACTGATTACAGGCAAGAGTCCCCCAGGTTTCCCATCAACCGCCATCTTTCTTTCTCTCTATTTTTTTTCTTTCTTTCTCTCTCTCATGATGATGAGTTCATCGTTTTTTGTCTCACAATTATGATGGCCCCCTCTCTGTTCTCTCCATCTGCTTGTCACAATCTCTCAAGACATTCTGAAAATTGACTTCATTTCTGGCATAAATAGGGACAGTTGTTGGTATCACAACTAGGTCATGAAAGAAGTAAAGGAATCAAATTTTTTTAGATGAATAAAAGGTCATTGTCAGTCATGATCACACCCAAAGGGATGGTGCTGAATTCTTTGGCTTAGGGATCTCACTCAAAAACACAACTGGGACAGGGATATCACAAGGGCACGAGGAAATACCCTGTAAGACAAGGGTTGTCCATCACAGACTGGATGTCGAAGAGAGGACCCTTTAGTCATCTTTCACTCGATCCCCCCTTGCTTTTCTTGCCCTGGAGTTGCCTCAACTTTTGCAAATTGGTTTTTGTGATGGGATCGTCAGGTTTGAGTCTCAGGGCTGCCAGGTAACTCTCCTCAGCTGCCTCCAGCTTCCCATTCACATGCAGCATTGCACCCAGGTTCAGATGACTTGTTGCTTCCTGCAGGATAACATTCCAAACAGCACGTTGATTATCAATCTAAATGGAATTTCCACTTCACCTCCATAGTGTTGAATACTGTCTGAGAGGTAAATAGATCCCTTCAATTGCATAAATTTTCACATTTTCTTCAAATGCTATTGGAACCTATCCTCTTTAAACTCTATCCCTTTCAACTGGAAGCCTGAAAGCATTATTCATTACACACAGTGACTATTTACCAGCTGTCAAGCATTCTCTGACTGGGATCAGTTCAAGGGAGTGATAGTGTTGATCAGCATGTGACACATGACAGTATATATTGCAATTTTGAGGAAGTTTATGGTAGGTTTACCCTTTGCACCCAGGAACTAACCACATTATTTCATACCTTCCTATTCAAGAAGAGTGTAGGCAATTACTGTAACTTGTTGCTGATGCAGTTATGTTTTATTTCCTTTTCCACAGTCTCCTTGGGCTATTTTTGCCCCTTTCCCAACTTAAGCACTTGGTTGACTTTTGTATGACGTAGGATGTGCTGACAAAGGGTTGACATCGTAGGGGTTGATATTAAAGATGCAATGAAAATATGCTGCTGCAAGCTTAAGTTATAGCACATAGGTTTTCTATCAAAGAGTAAATTGAAATATAATGGGAACTTAAATAATTCATAGGCAGAATATGAAAGCATGCTATGATGGAATTTTATTCTTAGTGAGGCTTGAAGCATGAAACTGCAATTTGCCTGCCGAGTCTCATGGGGCATGGAGGGGAAACTGAAGACAGGCAGGCGACTTACTTGCTTAGCAGTATAAACTGGGTAAGCTTGGTCGAATCGTAAGGGCTTCCAATAAGTGTTATGAACAAAAAGGTGAAGCAGGCACGTAGAAGTTGGGATATTGGGGAAGGCGACGACGATGTAGCATTTATGATTTTGCCTAGCAACTCCGCGTGTCAACGGATCCTTCAGCTACGAAGATTAATAGGGAACTGGTAGCTCTGGCCAGTGACATGGCACTCCGACCCAAGATGAAAGCCGTTCATGCCCATTGCGTCGGGATCCAAGTAGCCTTGATGGTACCGATCAGGGTGTAAAGGCCGATAACTCTACCTTAGCGGGAGGAAATGGGTTTAAGATTCGCGATAAGAAAAATCTTTTTGGGGCATGAATATCATCAAAAATAAACTTCCTTTCTCATGCGTACGTGCCATTTTCACGGCGATCATAACGATATTGAAACAGCTATTGTCACGCGAAGAAACAAAGAAACTGAACGAAAGGACAGGAATCTAAATGGTCGCTTCTTTTTTGAAAGAGCGCCACTAAATCGAAAGAAAAAGATGCTGGTGTAGATTTTGAAGGCTTAGCGCTATTCAATCCCATGAACTGTTGAACAGTATCATTACCCTTAAAGCGGCCTTAAGAATGTCCCTGCTAGTGATACGAGACAAAGGATGAAACAGAAACTTGCCGTGGGTCTGAGCTGAACGGCTTTCCTGTAGAAAGCCTCTGCGTCTTGGTTCCGTCCAGCCTGTCGGAGTGTGTTGGCGGCATTGAAGATGATCTCGTATTCGCTCGGCGCGGATTCCGCCGCCTTCACGTAGTGCCGCGCCGCCTCCTCCGCCCGATCCCTCTCCGACAGGAATTGTCCTGTTCACCATCATCATCAATCGCCATGGTTCTCATTCGATCTTCTCCCATCCCAACCGTAGGGTAAAACCATCTCAGTTCGGACACCATAAAATAAATTGTTATAAAACAAAGCATTTGCGAGGTCACCTTTAGAAACAGCTCTTCCAAGCTGCGAAGAACTGTTTCTGAGGGAGAGCCCATCAATGCTCGGTTTCGTACGATGTACATCATAAGAGTCCGAACTTAGATGGTTTTACCTTATACATAAGAGCAGAGTCCCTACCGTAGTGCTGATGGACGGTAGAGTCCTCCGGGACGAGCTTGAGTGCCCGCTGGAACAATGCATCCGCCTCCTCCACCCGATTCTACATGGATATACCCCGATTTTTTTTTAACGCAAGATAGAAAGGATGGTTTCGCGAGACGGCGGGGAAATTAGTACGAGTTTGGCGAGGAGTTTGCCATAGGTGAGATGTGCGGGGACGTGATCCGGTTTGGCCTTCAAGGCTTCCAAGTACCACTTCTCCGCTTCGTTCAAATCCCCCTTCTTGAAGTGCGCCTCCCCCAGCATGTTATACAGGCTCTGACCAAAACAAAAACACCATCTCTCTATTATTTTTTAGTTCCTCATTTTCACCAGTTATTTTCTTCCTCATCCTGCGTCGGCCTAGTCTTCAGTCGTTCAATTTAATTTGTATTACCATATATACCACACGTTGCGATATTTGAATCGAACGTTCCAATACCTAAAATCCTTATTTAGTCGTTTCGCAGCTAAGCCCGGCTGTATTCCCATCCGACGTATTAATGAAACCGAAAAGCCTTCAGCTAGTGAGGGTTCAGGGATCGGATCTATGAAAGCCGAGCAACTATTGAACAACTTTCAACCCGGTAGGAAAGCATTGTTATTATTATTGAAAAACACTTGGTGAACGAGAAGCATTACAATTAGAACGGACTGTTCGCATTCAGATGCGATTCCGGGGAAGGGGCAATAAGGCGTTCTCGAGGGAGACCACATACAGTCGACTCCGCATATTGGAATACTCACGGGACCAGCGAACTTTATTCTATAATCCTGAGTATTCCAACAACCGAAACTATATGCTGCATCGTACCGTAAATCGGGACTGTGCAATGGTATTCCATCAAGCGATATTCCTTTATGCGGAGTCGATTGTATTTTAAGAGATCGCGAGCACTTATGGAAACCCGATTCATTGAGACGAATTTTTTAGGGAAAGATGGTCCCTTGAAACGTTCCGTCTTCGTTGACGGACTCGTTGAAACGAGAAATCCCGAGTGGTTATCGTTCCGAGCTCATGGACACTCGAGTCCAAAACGTCAATACCCTATTGGGCCTCGTGGCCTTCCAAAAAATCTCATTCCCACTCCGTAAGGCCAGAATCCTGTTTCTCACTCGCGCAAATTAAACATTTTCATCTTAAATCTAATCCAGAAATTCTCCAAAACAGAATCCTGCAACCCTGAGGGCATGTACGTCTAAAGCTACTTTAAGGGCAGTCTAAAAGGTGGGGATTACGAAAAGACGTGCATGAAAAACTTGAATTTAGAAGAATTGGTTTTAGATGTGCAGCAGAGGGAAGGAATAGGCTCATTGTTCCGTCCAAGTGCCGTCGATTCGGCTCGAGAAGCCAACACTGGTTTCATTAGATAAGGAATGAGTTTCTTCTTTCTTTTTGCAAATGCTACAATATATTAGTCATATCTTACATAGAAAGTAGGCGATAAGCGATTTGACTAGCACGATTAGCACTGTTCGAAATCGAGCTTTCAACAGCAGTTCAGGGTAGGGTTGCCACCCGTTCATAATTAGTATGGACAGTACATGTTTCGGATGCAATGTCCATACTGCAAACTGGACCTAATATGGACACTTGTTTTGTCCATATTTTAAACGTAAGATTTTTTATTTTATAAAGCGCAATAGTAGCTCATAGTTATTTTCCGTAAGCCAAAAGCAGTAAGCCACACTCATGATATCGATTGGCGCCTTGGCTTAAGGTGGCTGTGGGTATACTTCGAATATTTGTCCATATTTCGTTAAATTCAAAGGTGGCAACCCCAGTTCCGCGAGAATACCAAACGCGACGAATCGCTCCCCCCCCCCCCCCCCCCCATATTAACCTCTGTATCTGAATTAGTTGTGGAGGTATAAGGTGAACCTCAAGGGGTAATGTATCTCTAATCTACAAGGTTTGTGGTTTCCTATCTCAGGAACTGTAGGGATGGGAGTGGCCACATGAGCCGCGTACAGGCGACCCAGGTTGAACAATGCCGACACCTGGGAACCACGATCGCCGTTGATTGGAGACAGACAGCAACAAGCCTCGCGTTCGCGATTACACGCTTTCTTATCTATTTTCATAATAATGATGTCTGTGTGTGTGTGCGTGCTCGATTGTCTCCGTCCATGGAAATTCTCTCATGACAACTTGGCGCCAGGGACCCGTTTCTCCCCTTCAAGGTTAGAACATCGGTATCCCATTCGAATTATTCTCTTCGACTCCACCTTTAAGGGACCCCTTCTTTCCTTTTACGGGACTCTCTCGAGATAAAGCGGGGTCAGCGGGAAATCGCTCCCGTCCCGTACCGGCTACGACGGGATGAATGAATGAATGTTTGGGCTCGTGTGTTCGTGTCACGCGTGATGGTGTATGATGGATATCGGTGGATCGAGGAGATGGAAAAGGGTCGAAAGATAAAGAAAAAAAAAAAACAGAGACTCTGACCTTGGTGGCTTCATGTGTCCGAGGGTCCTTGAGCCCCGAGACGTCCAGTGTGGAGCAATGGAGATAAACCTCCATCGCCTCCTCTTTTCGATCCAACAGCCCCAACACCAAACCCAAGTTCAAGTGAGCCACTGCGTAAAAAAAAAAAATAATGATCCCATGGATTGATTCGAGTTCGATACAAAAAAAAAATAAACTCGGTGAGAACAATTTTGGCAACTCACTCGCCATTCGGGGTCGAAACTGGATGGCCAATCGGTAGGACTGTATGGCTTCTTCGTATCGTTTCGTCTCTTGATATAATATCCCGCTATGGAGACGCAAGAAACTCATCGCTATCCTTTTTAGGCACAAATTAAAAAATTGTCTACGAGCAAAAAAACTCACAGATTGTAATGAACATCCGCCATGTTGCTTCGATAAGAAAGGGCGAGTTTGTAGGCGCGTTCCGCGTCCTCCTTATTCCCTTGAGCGCTCAGGATGTTGGCCAGATTCCCGTAGGCTGTGGGACCGGATATGTACCAACACCGATATGTACTCCGTGTCAACAATGTTGATGAACCGTCTCGTGTTTGTTTAGTATTCCCTCACGAGAGGAGAAAAGAAAGGACCTACCCTTGGGCGGGTTGACGAGGATGCCGGATCGATAGAGGCTTTCCTCGGAGGCCCAGTCCCGATTCCGCACCAGAGTCCGAACGGAGAAGAGCAGGAGAAGCCCGACGAGGGCGAGATGAAGGATCCGCTTCCCCGGCACGGACTCCGTCTTGGACTGGAGAAGATGGAAGCCCAGAGCGAGGAGGAGGCAATACCCCATAGACGGGATGTAGAGGACCCTCTCCGCCACGACGAATCCCACGTAGAAGAAGAGATTCGAGGCCGGGACGAAGGGGAAGAGGAGCAGGGCCAGGCCCATCACAGATACGTCCAGGGTATCCCAGGGGAATCCATGGGACACCACGAGGGGTGCATGTATCACAGCGGTCGAACCGTTCCGCTCGACCCTTTCGGGTTCCTGTTCCTTCCTCCGTTGGAGGGCGTCGAGGATCCCCCAGCCCCAATAGAGAAGGAGCAGGTAGACGAAGGCGGACAGCCAGGCCCTGACGTCCCAGGGCGAACTCACCGGCGGGATGGCGTCCATGCTCCAGTCGAAGCTCAACACCGCGGGCATGAGAAGAAGAAAGAAGTTGAACACGGGTAAGTAGAAGAAGGTGAGCGTCCGCAAGACGACGCTGTCGGAATCCGCCGCCGGGTTGTCGGCCGGGGAGAACTCCGGGGTCTTGGCGCCCATGATCGAGAGGCGGAGGGCCAGGATCCCTAAGAAACCCACGACTAGTACCATCACGCCCTCGTACTGCACACCTCGACTGCTTCCTGCTCCCCTCTCCTGGAACGATGCCGTTTCGAACTCGTAACGTTCTGGCATTACTGGATCCCAGATTGAAATGTCATAAATATATGATCGAATCTATTTCGATTCCCGCCACTGATCATTCTCTCAAATTCGTAATTTCTGCTTTAAGCCCCCCCCCCATGTAATTTCAGCAGTCTTTTTTCCCTGAATGATACGCTCCGCCCATAATTTTAAAATGACTGCGACTCAGCCTTCCAGACTAGTTACACGAGTACGGTTTAAATTATACTGCCCGATGAATTACCGTGACCCGCGAAGAAGGATTTCATGAAACTTATTACGTGTATCAGAGGCTCGGGAATGACACTCACGAATATGTGACTGGAGAAGAGATCTCGGAGCCTGAGCCTAGAGACGAGGAGCAGATCCGTGACGGCACAGACGCCCAAGACGGTGAGCCCGTGCTCCTTGCTCAACATGGATAGAAAGGCGGATAGGACGGTGAGGGAGAGGAACCACCACCTCTTCAATAACTTAGAGGTCCGGGAAGTATCACACTTGAACTGATCACTGGCATCGAGGTCCAAGTACGCCATGTAGGAGCGAAGAGCGAGAAGGAAGAAGATGGACGCGAGGATGTCCGCCCTCCCGACGATCCCGGCCACGGCCTCCGTGTGGATCGGATGCACGGCGAACGTGAACGTCGCCACGAGGGTGGGCACGGCCCGACGCCGGAACAGTCTGGACGCCAGGTGGCCGAAGAGGGCCGTGGCGAGGAAGTGGAGGAACACGTTCACCACGTGGTAGCCCAGGGGATCCAGTTCCCCGAACAGATGGTTCAGGCGGTAGGTGAGGACGGTGAGGGGACGGTAGCTCTTGTGGGACCCGCTGTGGGTCAGCGGGGTCCCCCAGAAGTCGTTCCAGACCAGGCTCCACCACGGGCTCGTCCATGACACGTCTGGGTTCGTCTTGATCGCCCGGCTGAGACCGAGAAAAGAAAAGGAACAACGTTTCTCGTTGCAACTTAGCTGTTCGATTCTCAAAATATCGACTTCGTTTCGTTCTACATCCGAATACGGGACTCGAATGAGCCCATATTAAAGGTGATTCCAAACCACATTCGATTTCCTGAAAACATAAAATATATAATAGAAGTATCTC